GGTTCCTTCCAACCCAAACTATTCTATGATTAAATATTTAATCACCCTATATTAACTAACACTATAACCTGTAGATACATGTTCTTCCACTCTGGCGATACATTTGTTGCTTCTGTGATGGAAGAACGTATGTTGTTACATTCTACTGACAGCAAAACATATAATGCTTATTAGTTATATGGAATATAGTAGTTCAACTGGAACAGTCCACAATAGAGTACAGCTGGAAGCAGGCTAGCCCAATGTATCACAGAATGTTAGGGATAGGAAGGGACCTGGAAAGATCATCTAGTCCAACCCCCCTGCCAGGGCAGGACCACCTATTGTACGTTTTATTACTTAACCTTCACTGCAGGGCAGTTACAGAGATAGAGGGGTTTAATCATTTGTTTCCAAATGCTGCCTTTTTCAGTGTGACTGTGTAAGGTCAAGGTCTACTCTCAGATCAAGCAGTACCAGAAGGTATTAAAACATGTGTACTCTGAGAATTTTCCTTCCCTCCCCTAACCCTACCCTCATTTTTTTTTTTTTCTCCCCGGTTCAATTCTTCAAGCAGAAGTAAAGTTTATCTTCATTTAAGTCTAGCAACAGTTGACAAGGCATAGAAGACATGGTGCTCCCACATTTTTGTTAAGTGAGTGAAAAACAAGATACCTAGTAGGTGTGCAGAGTCAGCTACTGATAGCCACTGGCTTTCTCAAAACAGTTGTGTGTAGAACATGTGCTATGAAGAAAAATGTGGTTTTGCCTTTCACTTCCCCTTCTCCAACTTTTCCCTTGAAAATTGAGTGAAGAAAAGGGAATTTAAAAGAAAGCATTCTTTTCTATAATTGTCAAGAAAAGTTAGTTAAGTGAATAGCCTGAAAATAGAAGGAAAAGTAAACCTGTGAATAATCAGTCTAATGCTTATATGTATAGAGTGGAAGGTGTGTAACCTCTCATTTGTCCCTCTTACTACATCTGCAGAAGACATTTAAGACAGGAGTCTGTGGATTTTTTTTCTGGCTGTGCTCTATATTTAGCAGCACAAACAGAGTTTTGCTTATATTGCTCGAGCTTCTCTTAACTGTTAAGATTTGTTTTTCCTGGTACAGTGTTTATGAAGCCCTGTGCCATTATGCAATAAACTTCTTTTGGTTGTATGCTCCCTTGTCATGTCATATCTTCATCGTTGTTAAAAGCTTGCTGTGAATTCTTTATTTTGAAATATTCTCAGTGAATAAAACTTTTTTCCTTTGCTTTCTTCTGTTTGTTCATGTTGAATACATTTTGGGATATGGGGGTGAAAAGAAGAGCTTGAAAAAATCCTTTCTGTACTCGGGAATCACCTACTCAAAATGCTTATGCTCCATCTGCTGTCATACTGGCTGACCTGTTTTGCTTCAGTATTTTTGCTTTTTATCTCAGTGATGGATTTTACTTGGAAGTCAAGTTAACAGAAGCTTTTTTTGCTAGGAAGAGAATGTGTTCACGATTATAGAAATTGCTTCAGCTTTTCTGTAAGTGAAGAATGGAGGAGTTGAAGAGGGAGAATGAAGGGTTCTGTCCAACCGGTCAATCCTGTATTGGTCCAGTGGTACCCAGCAGTGAATTTATAGACCAGAAGTTTTCGTGCAATAGCTGAGCCTACAGCTCAGAGTGTGTGACTGACACTTCTGGCCACCTGGAAACATAGTGAGATGGCAGGTGTCCTTGTATGGGATCACAGTAGACTAATGTTTAGGGGGTAGGTATGGGTTGGGAGAGTGGGCAATTTTAAGATATGAAGACTTAAAGTTTATGAAAATCTTCGTAAATCTACACATGATAAAATTTGTAAGCCACTATTTGAACTAATTGTTTACAGGTTTGTTTTTCTTTTTCTTTTTGTCCCCAATTGATACAGGTGGAATCAAGAGATACTTTAAACAGTATTGCCTTGAAATTTGATACAACACCCAATGAACTGGTTCAATTAAATAAGCTTTTCTCCAGAGCAGTCGTTCCTGGACAGGTACTATTACACTATGTATGTTACTTATCCACCAAAGACCTTTTTCCCTGTATTTCTCATCTCTACCAGAGAAAGTGCTAAAGTACTTTTCTTACTGGTTTTCCTATTGGCTTTGTAAAAGTGTTTTTAATTTTTCTCTGGTTTGTGGATTCTTTGTACCTGTTAAATAACTGCCTAAAAAGGGAACTTGTAATGAAGCTGCCTGTCTTGGATCGGAGGACTTTTAAAACTAAATATAATTAATGGTATAGTAACATCTGGGTACATGCTAAATTGTTACTTTGCAAATATAGCAGGCTGTACACCAACTCTGGCTCAGAAGACAAATACAGGATACAGCTTACAAGCAACATTCCTGACTGCGTATTACATTACTGCCTGCAATTCTATTTTAATAAATTGAATAATATTTCTGTTCTACTCTGAAATCAGGCTGTCTTTACCAGCAGTATACGAACTATCATTCACTCCTTATAGGTCACTATTGCTTGTTTCTTTTTCTTTCCCTTTTTTGCCTTCACTTCTCACTTCTCTTTGAAAGCCAGGCCTGGAAACAAGTGATAAGTCAGCTATGGTATTAACCATAGCCATTTGTTATTAGCCCTCTGAAAAAAAATCCTGTGTTTATTTCCAATTGCTGCAAAAAACCTTTGTCTAGGTAGCTTGAACGCCTACCGTGGCCAAAATAACATATTTTAAAGGGTGAGTAACTTGCAGTTGTGGTTTTTTTTTTTTTACATTCAGTGCTAAGAGCTATGTCAATGAACTTGTTCCCCAGCCTGTTTCTTGGTTGCTCAAATAGTAGAGTTATAGCAAGAGAAATAATTGGGCAGGTCTTTCTCTGCAACTATATTGTTTTCTATCTGAACTTTTTCCTCAATTATTATGACTTAAAAATCAATCTTAACTCAAAATAGCATTTAAAAACTTCAAAAGCTAAAATTAAGTACTTTGTGTGGTATTGCTTATTACCTCAACTCACAATTTCTGTTAAAATTAATGGGAGTAGGCATGCTTTTGTATACCTTATTTTGAGAAAGCATAGCAAATATACCTGAACCGGTAGGAAATCTAAATTAAACCTGAAAGCATAACTTCTAACTACATTATATCTTCTTTATAGATTTTGTATGTTCCTGACCCAGACTACATTTCTAGTGTGGACAGCTCCCCTTCTCTAAGTCCTATAAGTCCCCTATCACCTACATCTTCCGAAGCAGAGCTTGACAAGGCTACAGTAAATGTAGGTATACCTGTTGTCCTTGAAATTAATTTTCCCTTACAAGATAAATGTTACAGATGCTATGCTTTCTTCTTAAACTATCCTTTTGTTCTGGGAGAAAGTACAATACTTGCAGTTGAAAAGTAAAATAATACCTTTTTAAAAGTAAAGACAAGCTTTTAATCTTTGTGAATGACAGTTTTCTATGTGAAAACTGATTTGTAGGCAAGTTATTCGTAACAAAATACTATCCTTGCAGACTGAAATTTTTAATACTAGTTCCTGTTGCATTTCTGTATTTGTCATCTTTCAGAACTAGTTAGACATTTGTCTCTGATCTTGTTGATAGTTTTTGTAGCAATGATATATTGGCAAGAATACTGAAGTAGCTAAAAGGTAAGGGCTCTCCCCACTCCTTGTAGAGATGCGGGAAGGAGTTCTCTAGTTTCATTTAGTAAAAGAAGAAGAAAAAAGTCTGTTTCAGTGAAGGGCTAATACAGAGTTGATCATAGCTGACTTATACTCAGTAGTTTTACTTTTGTAGACTTTAAAATATTAAAATTGTTTAGCCATCAAAGCTGCTCTGTAATTTAGCTTGAACGTAGATTTTTGTCTAGGAGACAGCTTTGTAAAAGTATGTCTTTCCAGGAACACTGGTTTGCTGTCAACAGAATTCCATGGGGAGAACTCCAGCCAGGAAGATGCAGTGTTGGAGCCTGAGCTTCTCTGCAATTTATGCAATTATGACCCTGTTCAGATGTTTCTTAATTTGTCACTACTATTCTTTTCCCAGTTATTATCTTTTTTCTCAAATAACCATTTTCTTGATAGTGCTCTGTCAAGCTGGCAGATGTCTACTCCAGGATTCTGTGTGCTCAAAGTTTAGGAAGGTTTGAGACTTCAAACATCTATTTATTTATTTATTTATTTTGCTTACATGACTTGGTCCAGAGAATTTTAAATACAAAGATGTTGCTTTGTTGCTGAATAGGTTCCCAAACTGCATTACAAAGGCTGTGATGACCCTTCTACTGAAAATTGCTATTTGGTTTTGGTTTATACCTTTACTCTGACCTAGTGTGCTTGTTCTTGTGAGATGTCTGCTGTTGTTTGTACTGAATAATTTCTGTTGGTTTTTGGCAAACTGAAGGTGTTGTAGCACAGCAAATAGACTAATCTGCAAGAATATATTCTGCTATATCAGTCTCAGAATTACTGTAAATGCTAGGATAGGCCTACCCCTATAGCATGTGTGGTGAGGAGTTATTCAAGGGAAATTTTTAGTTTAACACTAGAAATTGGAGCTCTTCCTACAATGTGCTAGGTCTCACGTCAGAAAAATACCTTATTCTTGCTTTTGTGGATTATTTTGTATATGCTTGTTTGCATATAATAAATAAGGAAGCTTTAATAGTGTAACCATACCTGTAATTTGTTCGAAACTTTTTTTATTTGCTATATGCACGCAGCAGAAATAAAAGCTTGAAAGTGTAGAAGCAACGAAGTAGATTAAAATTAAAATCCTGGTATGCAAACGGTTGTTTTGTTTCGTATAGGTAGTTCAATGTCAGCAACAATTTGAGTGTTAGATTGCATGTAACTGACACTGTATTGTTGCAGAACTATTTTGTGCATCTCATCACGTGTCGTGGATCGCTACAAGCGGTTCCTAAATGCTTCAGGGAAAGTCAAACAAGCAAGCAGTGCAATATATAATAAAGTGTTCACGGAAGTTTCTGAGGTCTTTCAAAGTACATGTAAGGAGGGGAGGGATGTTCCTAGATACAGACTGCAAAAGAAAACAAAGAACAGAAATCACTTGCACTTGCCAGTGTGGACTCTGTGCATATCTGTGTGTGTGTGTTTTGGTTTCGTTTTTCAAACAGTCTCTCCAGCAACACGAAGAGCACTCAACTTCTATTTGAGCAGTTAAGGCTGGAGGGTTTTGTTCTTCATCATAACATGTTTTCTGTGTTTCTCTTTTCTCTCTGCTGATTGCTATCCTTATGAATGAATAAATTCTCTAATGCTCTGTATTGATGTATCTTGTCTTTGACTCTCCTCCAATTTTGACTCCTAATTTGCAGTTTAAATTTATGCACATTTCAAGGTAAAGAGGGTATGTTATTCTGTCTGTATAATGTAAAGGAGTCTTTTCTGTGAGCTATGGTCACTGGAATCGAAGACTTCTTGATAGAAATTGAGATGACCAACCAACATCTGAACCTCTGTTGAGGCAAAATACAAACTATGATATGCTCTGTTATTTTGTTTCTGTTTTATCAAATGCTGAAGTAGCTTAACCATGTGGCTAAATACAAAGCAGCATGTGGCTCATATAAGATCTGCATAACCCTGTTAAGATTTTTATATTGCTACACTTAAGCTAAGATATCAGTATGTATTTCAGTAAGTTTATTAGTGTCAGTGTGTGTGTAAGAATTCAGCCATCCGATGCATATATTTGAGAAGATCCAATAAGTTTTACTACCTATAAAACTGAAAATCCACTTCAAAATAATATGTGGTGACAAGGGTTTCGTCATTAAATTTGAAAGTCTGCCACCAGTATTATTCCTGCTTCTATGTCGCGTGACAATGTGAATGAGAAATAGCTGGCTTATTCACAATGGACTTTGTTATCAGCTGGGGATTATTGCAGCTGCGTGCCCAGTTCTGTGCATCATGGAAGATGACCACATATTTTTTAGGAGAAAGGCATATATAAAAGGAGAACATATCTTCAGGAAGTTTGTCTTTTAGTTGTATCTTCATTAGCTTTTTCAGCAAAATTCAATTCAATGTTCTATAAGCTGTTTTGTTTGGTTTTGTTTTTTGTTAGCTTTCTAACTGAAATTGAAAGATGCAGGCAAAAGCTAAGGTAGTGCCAGAGAGATGATGAACTGAAAACAGTTGTACATAGTGTTCCTGGGTATGATTAAAGGTATTTAGCTGCAATCTGTACTAGTGAATAGAACTGAACAGAAAAGCAGAAAACCAAAGGGAACATAGAAGGTTTTTTTATAAATAGTAATAGTTTATTAGTAACTAGGAATAGCAATTAATGTATGAAATGGAAGTCTTTAAATGTTGGTTAAGCTCCAAAACAGGGTTGCTGTGACTATAAAATAGGCTTGGGCACAGTCTGTCTACTATATGTGTAGATTTTATTTGAAAATGATTTTTTCACTGTCTGTCCTTTCCTGGGTAGGGTTCCATGTTCAATAGTTTGTTGGATGTACTGTTAGGCAGTAAGACGCATAGCTTCTTGTTATCTGCTGAGGAGGGTCATGAAGGAGATCCTGTGGAAGCTATATCCAGGTGTGTGAAAGGCAAAGATGATTGGAGCAGGCAGAGTGAATTTACCAAGGGCGTATCATGCCTGACCAGAGTGATTGCTTTCTGTGATGGGGTGACCGGCTCAACAGATGAGGGAAGAGCAGTGCGTGTTACTTACCTTGACTACAGCCAAGCCCTTGACACTGTCCCAAAGCAGCCTTGTTACAATATGGGGAAGTGTAAACTGAATGGAGGGACTACAAGGCGGCAGGATCTTCGGGCTCAAAGTGATTCAGCATTTGTGTCTGTGGTTGCTCAATTTTGTTGTTTGTCTTCTGTGGTGGCGGACAGTTAGGAATCCTTGAGGGTCCCTGTTGGGACTATTATTGTTTATAGCCTGCCCATCAGTGACCTTAATGGTGGGGCAGAAGACAGAATGCATTGTCAGCATGCTTGGGGCTGGGGGGCAGCAAAAATTAAGGAAAGAGGTCAGTACACTAGAGGGAAGGACAAGGGCTGCTCATCAGATGGACATCAAGACTCTAAAGAGAGATGAAGTAACAGAAACCACATGAAGTTCAACAACAGCTAAGACCCACCTGGGACAGAAAGAGCCCTATGTGGCAGTATAGGGTGAGGGTTGGCTAGCTACATAGCACTTCTGTAGAAGAAGACTAAGGGCTAAGGAGAGGTTGAGGCTAGTGTCCTGGTGGACATGTTGAACAGTGTCCACGTGTGATGGTGAGGGCTTACCACTTGCCAGGTGGCAGATGAAAGAGGAATACCAGCAGGTTAAGGAAAGTGATTATTCTGCTGTCTCGGGGGCTTGTGAAGCTGCATTTGCCGTGCTGTGCCCACTTCTGGCACCTCCAGTACAAGACAGAGATTGACATGCTTGAGAGAGTCCAGCAAATGGTCATTAAGATGATCAGGGGATGCAAACATATGAGGCACAGAGATTAGCTGGGTTTGTTTAGTCTGGAGAAGAAAACACTAATACTAACCTGATTTCTTTGTTAGAGGGAGGACAAGAAGAGTCAGGATCTTCAGAGGTTCATAGTAAAATGATGGGCAGCAAGAGGTCATGGTTAAAGAACAGAAAAATGTTTTACAATGAGAGTAGTTAAATACTGGAGCAGGTTTCTTGGAGAGGCTGTGGAATCTCCAGCCTTGAAGACTCAAACTCAACTGGAAAGGCCATGAGCAACCTAGTCTAATGTTGGCTTAGGCCTCCTTTTAGCGCAGGGTTGGACTAGCTGACCTTCAGACGGTACTTCCAACATAGTGTATAATATGGAAGGATAACAGAAGATATTTAATAGGACTTCTGTTTGTTGAAGTTGAAAAATAATCCTTTCTGTTCAAATTTTACATGTGATAGTATATGGGATGGTTTCCTTATGTGAGTTCTGATCATCATTTTGTTGTTTATTTCCAGGTTGATTCTGAATGTGTGTGCCCACTATCATTTCTTACTGTGGGCTAGTTAAGCTGTGGTTGATTCGTTATATACACTGTCAGATCAAAGCAGTCCTTTAAATTGCAGTGGATTTGGAACACTATTTTTACATTTCCTTTTATGTCAAAGATAAAGAACAAAAATTAATATTGAAAAAGGCATGTTGCTAAGTTCTGGGATTTTTATACTTCCTTTTAGGATCCAGATGGAGTCCAACAGAAAGAGTCAGCTGCTTCACCAGCACATGTGTGTGTTCGTCCCACAAGAGTGGTATCATCCACCTCCGAAGAGGAGGAAGCATTTACAGAGAAGTTTCTAAAAATTAATTGCAAGTACATCACTAATGGCAAGGTACTTAAACATTCAGGTTTTACTGTTACTGTGTGGGATGTAAAAATGAAGTATATTTTAAACCATTAACATACAGTAGAGTTTAGTTACTGATAGGTAGATGGATCAGCTTACATACATATATATGTGTGTGTATATATTCATTTTTTTTACTCAGTTTCCTTTGGATTCCCAGACCCTGTGTTTCTTAGACATGATAGCAGTTAATAATGCTATTAACCTGAGACAGCCTTCCCTATACTGTTCAGTGATTCTGTTGTGTTGAGGGCATGAGGTCTGTTTGTTAACCTGTGTTAGTATCTTTCATAAATAATTCTCTTTACTTACAGTGGAAAAGAACATGCCTTAAAGTGTAAGGTAGTATGTAGTCGGGTAGCTGCACTTCCATTTTCCTAAAGCAGAACAGTGTGAGCAGAATTAACCTCTGATTCTGTAAATAAACACTTTTGTATTGGGTATAGTATGGTAGAAATCTTGATTATTTTTTTATTTTATTTTTTTTCATTTTTAAATTTTTTTTTAATCTATGCATTTATTTTTCTTTGAAGCAGTAGTTACCAGTCGCTCTGTCATTACACAAACACCTCCAAGTTAGTGACACTTAATTAACTTCTGTTCAGCGCATAAGTGCACAAATCTTGTGCAGATTTATAGGGACTGAGATGTCAAAAGACTTTACCTCAGAATGCCTTAGGAAAAAAACCAAAATGTATTGCTGTCCCACCCCACAGAAAAATGGCTATTAGATACTTTTAATCATGAAAAATCATGCCTTCACTCAGGCTGAATGAATGCAAAGAAACTCAAAGTACTTCCTCCTTCACCTGAAGTTTGGGTATGTATATATAAATTCTGCTCCTTCTGTGTTGCTCAGCAATAGGTTTGCAGATAAGTTACACTAATGCTAAACAGATTAATGAGAAACTCCTGAAACTGCATTTTTTATTTTTATTTTTTTCTGGGGGAAAGGACTGCAGATCTAAGTATGTCTAGACTTGAAGCCTTTTGACAGTACATGTACATTGGCAAAAACTATGTGTTAGAAGTTGGTAAGACAAGTACTGGAAAAACTTTGTTACTTTGTTCTACTTTGCAGTTAATTGGTTTACTCCTTGTATTCTGTCCCTAGGTGACTTTTTTTAAGCTGACCCTAGACAAGTCATTACTTCTCGGTTTTAAGTGCTCTAATGTGAAGGAATTGAGAACTGTGAGCCTCTGTTAGAAACTGGCTGTACTGGAGAAACATAATCTAGGGTTAAAATTTACAGCATGTTATTTATGTGCTGTAATTCCTCATCAGAATATTATGGGCAGTCTTCATAGAATCTCTTTGACTTGCATCTTTACAGACCATTTTCAAAGAGCTTCAAAGAGAATTCTATTTTTAAAGAGCTGTGTAATCCACCACAGTATCAGACCATACCTGGGGAGGTGGGTGGGGAGAGAAATTAATGCCAACTTGCTCAGATTTTATGAGTTTAGCATGTAGTTTAGCCTTTGTATCACGTGTGGTAGGAATGTCCTCTGGCATGTAGTCTTACCTTCTTGGTACATTTCCTGATGATGCAGGATGATAAATCTTCAAATGTTTTCTGGAGAAGGCTTAAAAGATTCATCTTCTGTTTCCCTCTCTGGAAGTGGTTTTGAAGCTCATTGTTTACTGTTTTATAGGGCTTCAGACGTGAAGTCTCAGTCATCACTGTGATGCTCATAAACTAAAATCTACTGAAAGCCTCTTTTTTTGATGTGTTTAATTTCATATATGCAAAAGGGATTGCATTAAGATAAGACTGTCTCATTTCTCACTTTTCAAGACTGCTTATTCTGTATGTGTTTGGAGTTGGTTTTAGTCACACCTGCGACTTCCTGGGCAAGCACACAGGAATTCTGTGAGATGCAGTGGCTGGAACCTGGAAACATTTGCACTCTCATAGTATTTTCTCTCAGTTAGCTAGATAGGGGTACTGTTAGCGGCAGGGCATGGGTCACAGTTAGAAACAGAGCGGTGTGAATGTTCCATGTCCTGGTCAGACAATACATCAGTGCTGCAGTCGCCCCTTAACTCCCTGTTTCTTGCATATGTAGGCATGTCCTTTCTTGCAGCCACACTGTTTGCCACTTTTGTAGAAGAGTGCTGCTCTGGTTTTTCGTTCTTTACACTGTTCATTGGTGGCAGAAAAAGGTGTCTTAAACAGTCTGCTTGATTGAAACTGAAACTAATAGAGGAGCTTTGAAATTCTTTGTTCCTTCTTATGCTTGCTAGTTGATTTGCCTTGTTTTGAAAAGTAGTAGGTAAAGGAAAATTACTAACACTAAGGCTCAAAAAAAAACACAACACCAACCTGGAAATATGGGCACAAAAAGCACAAACACTGTTCGTGAAGTGAAAAGGAGGACACTGAGATTCAAAACTTTTATGAGAAACAAAGGATAAAACTGTTATCTTTATGATAATCACCTCATAAATTGTGAATTACAGTTTTTCTTCTACCTTGTGTGTTCAAGAATATAATGGAATTATTTAGAGGTAACTTCTGTTTGAAAACTGCTTGTCAGAAGTCCTCTCAAACCCTCTTAACAGTATGTTGTACTGAACTGCCTAATCTTAATGTTTAGGCTCAACAATTTCATGAAGTTTGGCTCTAATCCACTCTTTGTAATGACTGTTTGAATTTCTGTGTGAGATACTGTATAGGATTTAGAGCTCCCACTTCCTGAGGTTTAAGGAGTTTTAGTGGAAAGATGTTAAAATTTATTCAGAATTGAATATTTGCATGGAGGTGCAGTTTAATCTACTTCCACTATGCATGTTTTTGCTTATCTGGATTAATATTTTTCTGGACCAGCTTTAAGACTGAAGGGATCTATTTTCAATAACCTAGTGTGTCCACATGATTTTCAGTAATAAAGTGGCTCAGCATTTCTCCTTGAGGCTGTTAAATCTGAACTTCACCTGAATAGAAATTCACTTCATGTCTTTAGACTCGATCTTAACATACAGGAAACTTGACTTCTACAAGTACTATTTTGGGGAGTTCGGTTGAAGAACCAGAACTTCCTGTAACAGTATCATGTTGAACTACTTAGTAGCCCTATGCAGAGTCTAATTTTTACTTCAGTTTCATTGGCTGTTTTTGATATTTTTTTCCTCAACAGCTAGTTAGAAGTAGAGTCCAAGAGAGAAACAAGTTACTGATTATTTGGTGGAGGATGTCCTAAAAAAAAAAAATGTTTCCCATGGTCCTCTATCAACAATTGAGCTGCTTATAGCCTTCCTTTCTTTTTAATTGGGGTTTTTTTTGTTTGTTTCTTTGTTTTTTTTTTCCCCAGAACTAGAAATAGTGAGATTAGAGCAAACACTGGCAGTATACTGGTGTAGGAGTTTGCAGCGTGCATGCTGTCACCCGATCTTTTCGGTTATGCTTGTCCTCTGATTTGCTGATCTTCCTCTCTCTAGCTACATTATTGGTACAAATAATTTTTGGAAAATATTTTGAAAATTGAATTTTTATAAAATAAAGTTAAAGAGCTGTTTCAAAACTGTTCAACAAATACTTAATTACCATCAAAGGGATCTGTGCTGAAGACACAGCATGACAGAGCATGACCACAAAGGAGAAGCTGGGCTTAACTCCTTATGTTGATATGGGCAGGTGAGGGCAAAGGAAGAATTTTACTTAGTAAGTGAGCCCCCATGCTGTTCTTTACTCTGAAGAATATATTCATACGGAAAATATTTTCAGCAGCTCAGCCAGGCCAGCAAGGGAGCTTTGGAACTTTCTCCCTGTTCCAAAAGCAAGAAGATTATATGAGGAGCAGACTTGAGGCTGTCAGTCTTCTTCAGTACTTGTAAGATAGCAGAGGAAAGTAAGTTATTGAAAGCAAGTTACTAAAAGCCACTCACTAAAGAACAGTATGCTGTAGGTTGTTGTTTTCTTCCCTTAGCATCAGTGTTCTTACCCATTTCTGGGTATTTGGTAGAACAACTGTGACATCTGCTACCCTGAAGTGTTCATGTAGTAACTGTGGACCGTATCAAATAACTTGTGAGCCAGAAATGTTGCATTGGTCTGCCTCCTGTTGTCTTCTAAATAGATAACAATGACATGGATCATCTTTTGCTGAGGCTTTATAAAGCCGGTGTTTGCAAGATACCCGTAACATCTTTCAGTTGCTTATAGTCATTTTAAGTGAAGTGTTTGATCAGCATCTTAGTCAAGAACACATAAAAGCCTTAGTTCCAAAGGTTTAATTCTCTATTTCTTTATCAGTGTAATAAATTGTCACTGGAATTACACTTTCAGATTCATTTTTATGCTGAGTATTTACCTATTGATATTGAGGGTTTCTTCTAAGACCAAGATAAGCAGCTTTTAGGTTTCTAGGTGTGTCTTGGGTTGAGGCTGCAGAGGTAGGCTATAGACTTTTCCATGCATGTCAAGGACAACTTCCTGATGTTCAGGTTTGGGGTTTTTCTGCCATCAGACAGGTGATTGTCAGACCATTCTAGGAAGCTTCCATTTACAATAGAAGGTCTCTTAAATTTGTTTTCCTTATGTAGTCAGTAGTCTTGCACACTTCTTTGGCTGAACGTTTGCCTGCAGAAAGACTATATCTACTGGGCATCAGTGTCTGAGTCTAAACACCACAAGGTGCTATACAATTTCTTTAAACACATTCAGATTTGCCCTGGAAACAGACTTTTGTCCTATGGGGTTCAGAAGGGTTAAGTTGGTATTTTCTGAACTGCTAGTATTGAAGCTGAAGCAACATAAGTGAAGTGAGAAGATGTGCAAATAGTTCTTCATATACATTATTCTAATGTTGTGACTCTTTAGTGTTCAGATAAGCAATGTAGAATTGACTTATGAAACTTTTAACATTTAACTTATTATGCAATAAAATATTCTTTAATCAATCTTTGACCTGAGCTGCCAGCTGAAAAGCAGTCTTTTGACTTGGTTTCAAGACGACAGATAAAGCACTGGATTTTGCATTTGTTTAATAAAACCAGGGACCTTGGTGACATGGGCGATATGTCAGTTGTGACAGCTCACCTCTTGATGGAAAGATGCCATCTCCTTTTATTGCCTCAAAAGCTTTAGCACTTCCTCTGTACTTAATTTATCAAGGAAGATTCATGAAACAGTGAACAAGTGAAGACAAAAATCTTTAGTCTGGAAATTAGAAGTTCTCCAATGAACTTGATTGCTGATTGCTTCTACTGACTAATACGTTATTTTAAAAAGTGGTGTTGAACATTTAAATCCTTCAGCTAGAGCAGTCATACAACCTTACCTTTTTTTTTTTTCTCTCCAGCCTGACTGTTCTGAAGATCTGCGTGCAACATGTGGGCAGTCAAAGAATAGAACAGAATGTTTCAGTTGGAAGGGACCTACAACAATAATCTAGTGCAACTGCCATCAAGGCTATGGCCTTGATTTTTCTGAGTCAGATCTGGAGAATATTAATAAAATTCTGCTTTCATGTGTAGTCATTCATGAAAAGAGCTCAGGTTTAGAAATGGTGCTGCTTTTCTGTGTTATGTAATGATTTTACAGAAGTAGTATTTGTTTAAAGAGAAGCAATTTTTCTTTTAAGTAGACTCACTGACTTTTGCAGTCATGTTAAATTTATTTTCTAGGCTACAGTGGGTATATAACCAAGAGTAGACTTCTGTTGACAGTCATCCTTTTGGAGTTCCTTTTTGCACCTTGAAAGTCTATTTCCACAATGCAATGCTGGGAAAGAAATGCTAGTGACAGCTTCGTTTCGGTGTCTTAAACGCCTTGGAAGTATTTAAATATGTTCTGCTGACTTTAAAGCCTTTAGTATATGCTTTGTACTCTAAAAGGCACGTATAAAACTTGACTAGGCGCTGAATGACTAAGAGGACTTAAGTACAGATGCTTTTGAGACTGTTTTCATTTTTCCGTGATAGTGATACCATTGGCCATTGCTATAGACTTTAATACTATTTTTGGTTTGTTTTTTATAACTTGCAATTTTCTGCTCACTATATGGCATCTTTATTTTTCTGCTGTGAAGGTCATCAGCCATCACAGTGCTGGGAAAAAATTCTGGAATTGAGCAGGATTATAGTTGTGTTTCATGCTGTGCTGATATGTCTTAGAACTTGAAAACAAACAATTCCCCCCAGTACACAATGCTTGTAGTCACTGTGAACATTTTATCAGTGAGATGGATATTTATTCAGTTTCTGATAAGCTTCAGCAGCATACAAAGCAGCTTTTTTTGTGATTCTTGCACAAAAGGTTTGAGTATCTTTCTAAATTTGTAAAATCCTTAGGATTCAAGATCTGTAACTGAAGGGTCGCTGTCATTCTGCTTAAAACTACATTTCCTCCAGTTCATAGTTTTAGCTCAAACTCGACTATTCTAACAGTTTAAAGAATTTTCTTAGTGGGCAGCTGGTGTTGGTGTTTGCATGTGTTTCTGATGCTCCAACAAACAAAACAAACAAAAAAACCCCAAACAAAAACCAACCAAAAAAAAAGTTCAACATATTCTAAATAATCTTGGTACCTGTATTGTCTTAAGAACCGTACAGCTCATAGTATGAGTATCAACTTTCTTTATTTTTTTCATACTAGAAGTTTAAAATCTATTTGTATTCATGTACTGCAGCAGTATCATTGTGATTAAATGCATCCAAAGCTGCATCTTTAAAAATCTTCAATATTTTAATCTAGTTTCATTCTATAAAGGTCTTTGTCCAGTCAGTCAACAGGTCCATGAACATGAAGTTAGAATGACTTGTATCTGATACTGCTGTTGCTTTTGTATAAAGAAAATTAAGATAAATGACAGTTTTTGAAGATCTTTTTTTTGTTCTCAAAGAAAGATGATCTTTGTTTTTTTGTTTTTTAAAGGCAAGTTTTAGACAATGCTTGAAGTTTCTTGCAATACTAGCACTAAGTCCTGTGATTATCTGGGAAGGATGTATCTTTACCTCAGAGGAGCTGCCCAGCATATTCTTCAGGGTGCAGGGGTTTCTTTTTTCTTTTTTTTCTTTTTCTTTTTTTTTTTTTACACTCAGCCCAGCTGTTAAGTAATTGTGAGGAACAAATCTGTTTTCATTTGAGAAAGTGAGTGGCATTAATTTGCTTCCCCAGAAAAACAGTTATGTTTCTAAATGACTGCAAAACACAAGAAACTGTTTAAAAAACAATTAGAAAGCACCTTTTTTCCTACAAAAAAAAAAAAGGAAAATAAGCTGAAATACGAAGGAGAAAATTTACCAATTCTTTTCCTTCTCATTTTAGGGTACGGTCAATGGTGTGCTGCTAGTGACGCCAAATAATATAATGTTTGATCCTCATAAAATGGATCCTCTGGTCCAAGAGAACGGCTGTGAAGAGTATGGCATCATGTGTCCAATGGAAGAAGTGATGTCAGCTGCTTTGTATAAGGAAATTGTGGACAGCAAAATTAAGGATTCATTAACCATGTAAGCTAGAATACTATTTACAAAGCTTTGAGTAAATATGAACTGTAGCCGTGTTGCTGACCATACAAAACTAGCAAAACCGCATTTTCTTCTCTTGTTTTCCTTTCAAGAACATCAAAGATTGGCTTGGAAGGACCCTTGAGAAAACTTGCTGTACCTTAAGTTCTCACATTCTATATACTATATAGAATAAATCCTCTTCAATATACATGGATTCTAATTTCTTCTCTTTAAAAATCAGTGTAGAGCAAGAGGTACCATGTCACTTCCTCTGCTACTTCCCCACTATGAAAACAGTAACAGATGTGTTCAGTTCTTCAGTAATTTAAGAACTGATGTACAGAACAGAAAAGTTAAACTTAAACAGCTTCAGTGCAGATCTTTGTTTACCACTTTCCACTTGCTTCTCAAACTCTTGTTGCTCTCATAAATGGTTGTAAGACTAATTTTCTAGGATTTGTGTATATTTTTATGGCATTAGCAGTGTATTTTTTTCTCTGTTTGGCTAGGGGAGGAACTGCATATTCGCCTTTGGGTGTGGCCTTTAGGGTGAGCAGAGTGAATTTGGATTGATGAGCTTTAATCACTGGTATTTGGCATGGAGGTGTTTAAAGCTGACTTTAAACAGCATTATGAAAAAGCTTTGTTCCGTTCTGTCTGTTGCCTAGTTTTTATACTGTTCTCAGAAATAGGATAAATGCTAACATTAAAGCCAACAAGGGATTTAAAAAAAAAAAAAAAATAAAAAAGTCATGCCACGTTTACTTGTAATAGCCAATAAAGCATCTCCCACCTAGTGGAAGGTGTCCCTGCCATGGCAGGGGGCTTGGAACTAGATGATCTTTGAGGTCCCTTCCAACCCAAACCATCCTATGATTCTATGATTTGCAGACTGCATTTACCATCTAACTGCAGGGAAGTGGACTCCTTTAACCAGGGTAGAGTTGTCTGTATGTATGAGAAAGTAAAGCTGTTTGTAAAATCTTGTCTGAAAAAATGCAACCATTTTAAGTAAGCTGTGAAGATACTCAGTAACTCTGAAAAATGCCATTTTATAGTTCTCACAGGTAATAGGCTAAGCACATCTCTCTTGATAATCTTATATATCTGGACGTGCAGAAGAAATAACTGGTCTCCTACCATTTTTAAGTTCAGTTTCAGCAGGGATCTGGTAGTAAACTGGTATCTTGGCATGGTCCTGTTTGCTGCCTGAAGTCATGTGTTTTTTGAAAAAGCAGCTAACGTGCATATTAATGTAGTAGTACTTTAGGGGCTTTTGATGTAGAATGGTGATGCCTTCAGCATGATTGCTTTCTGGAAGTTTTATCTTCCAGATTCAGTTTTAAAAAGTTGCTCGTAGTTCCTACTTCAATTGATGTATAGTACAAGTAATGAGATTATGAAAATTAGATGACGCTTTTTAATGTACCTGTTTGAATCGTAATATATATTGGAGTTGCAAAACAAGTCTTTTTTCCTAGCGTGTTTAGTTTCTTAATGACTCGATGCTGACTTACAAATTTATCTTCCATGCCCTGTTTATTTTTGTGCTCTTGTAGCACATGCATTTTGTTTATAATAACAATGCATATGGAATGAAAACATGTCTAATAATAAAAGGTCACACTGTATTCAGAGCCCTGTATGTCCAATTTGATTTAGCTTTCTTGACAACTTCATAAACTACTACATGGAACACTAACTTCTAGTGTTTTCTTCAGTCCGAGCACTTTTGTGCCTTAAACTCATCAAAATTTCAGGCATGTTTGTAAATTTTGGAGTAAATAAAATTCAAATTTCTTGAGTCTGTAACCAGAACTCCCAGTAGCCAGAGCTAGATCTGACAAGACCTGTGTGTCTTGAGGTATTTGAGATTTAAATAATGTTTTTCCACTAATTGTTTTTTTTTCTAAATATTTCACTGTTACAATTAACCCTCTTCCTCTCCCAATTTTGCCAACTGTGAAACCTGTTTAAACTTGGAAAAACAATCTGAATACTGAAAATGAGATTATTGATAAAATGGAAACTGATCACAAAACTGATGGATTCTTTGGTTCTTAAAACTGCAGTTTCATGTTGTATAGTTTCCGTATGTAAGCCTTGATCTATGCTGAAACTGGAAGAAAATGTATCTGAAAACATACAGATTTCTTATGGATTTCACGAACCTTAGGTTCTTCTGCTTGTCCAAAAGCACCTATTACCAGCATAATTCTGAAAAATTAAGGAAATGGCCCAGTCTAATAGGTTATTAATCCTAATCTCTAATGCTTTGTAAGCAAAATTACTATGTCAGCACAAGCTTAATGTCAGCTTCACGTTAACGCTTGGATAAGAGGGTGCGTATGCTTTGCGAACATCCTGACCTTTAGCAGTCTTAGTAATATGACCTAACTGAATAAAAAGTTTTGTAGAAATGTGGAATGGATTTATCCTCCTTCAAGATGGGAGGTTAAGGTACAAGTCTCTAAAAAGCATTTGATATTAGGTAATGGAAGATGTAGTGTGCTTGTGGTAGCAAGGGAGTTGCATTGAGAACACTAGTCAAAAGTATGTTTAAAAGTGAGAAATGTTTTTATGAAGGTTGTACTGCTCAGGTTTTTTGACAACGCTGTAAAAGTTTGAGTCATGTAGATATAGTTGAGCTATATGTTCACAGTCCCCTTATAATTCTCTTCTTCTACAACTCTTAGAACTTCTGCTTAGCTTATTTTGAAAGGCAGGTTTGAATAAGGTTATTTCTGGTGGGGAAAATAAGTTCTTTTTTTTATGTTTGCTTTTTTTTTTTCCTTACACTACTTACGAACATTTGATGTCTGCTTGTTAAATTGTTCCATTGTACCTAGTTTGGGAATTTGTTTTACCTGTTAGACTGGATGATTTCTGCCATTCTTTTCTGCCACTGAGCTAGATGGCAACTTCAAAATAGCATGAGATAGATCTATACAGTTGTACTGGCCTCTTCGGTAGACAAGACTTAAAAGATTTTGGAGGATTTCTATCATTAGAGATTACGGTTGTTTGTAGCATTTTGCTGGTTTTCCCCTGGTTTTTTATTCTATTTTTACACTTTAAGCATCTCAAATAATCTTGTTGGTTTCGTAGGAGAGCTTCTACTTGCAAAAGTAGTGTCCTGAAGTTGGGAAGCCCTACCTATGTCACTCTGGCAAAAGGTCTGCCATAAGCTTACTGTTACAGGAACGTATTTCATGCTTGTTTCTTATTACGAATGCTCTAGATTAAGGCTTTTTAGTTTGTTTCATTTCTTTTTTTTTCTTTTTTTTTTTTTTAATTAAGAGCACTTTTAGATTTTTTCAGCATTGAACAAAGCTTAGTAAAGAAAAGAGCTTCACAGAAAAGGCACCTGCTATAATAACGTTCTTATTTGTTCAACAGAGATGTAGAACAGCTGTCTGTAAGGGAACTTTGCCATTCCAAGAAAGCTGCAAAGAGCAATACAGATGAAATGGATTCTAGGATTCGGGATACAGGCAATGACAGTGCTAGTACCGCCCCAAGGAGCACAGAGGAGTCTCTTTCAGAAGATGTCTTCACAGAATCAGAACTCTCTCCAATACGTGAGGAGCTTGTTTCCTCAGATGAGCTTCGACAAGACAAATCTTCTGGAGCATCATCGGAATCTGTCCAAACGATAAACCAGACTAGTGCTGAATGTTTAACAGTCATTTCAGACTCAGGTGAAGCTGCCAGTAACTTAAAACCCAGTGCTGAAATGGTTGTAAATGTTAAACAGTTTGGTACCCACATCTTAGGTTCAGAAAGTGCTGAAAAATCTATAAAGGAGGGACAAGAACCTAGTGAAAATATTGCAGATGTCTTCCAGCAATCATTGCAAGGATCACACGGTAGCGAAGAGCATGACAAAGAGGCAGAAGTGGGCAATGATCAAGGTTCCTCACGAGGAAAAGAACCAGAAGGAGAGAGCAAGGTAGGAGAGGAATGTATATGTTATGAAGATACCACAGAATCTCAAAAGAAAGAGACAACTAGCAAAGGAAAAGTAGTGAGGGAGCAAACGCAAGACTCCGAGACAGAAGTTGAGGAACTCCGCAAACTCTGGAAGACCCACACTATGCAACAAACCAAACAACAAAGAGAAAACATGCAACAGGATTCACAAAAAGAAATTAGTCAGAAAACTGTGACTGCAGGAGATAGGCAATTAGAAGGTGAGTCAGTATTTATGTGTTAGCCTTCAGATTTACAGTCTATCTCCTTCCAGCTCATCGAAATTTAAAAATGCTCAGATTTAAAAATGTTCCTTAGCAGTCGGCTAGCTGTCACTTAGATTTTGATTCCAGTGTACATGTGTATGAATGAATTTTAGGGAATAAATTTCATTTTATTTATAGCATGTCTCCCTTGTGGTTAAGGTTTATGACGTGAACAACAAACACTGGAGGCTTAACACTGTTTGATACTTTCAGAACCTTGTTTCATTTGCATCTTGTCATACTTGCATGCTGACTAGAACAAGGTCGAGCATCCAAAGCATATCTCAGGATAAGTAAGAGCTGAATGGTAAGAAACCAATGCTATGAATATGGGGAACAACTAGGCTTATTTCTTGAGTACCTTCGCTCCTCTGCAAAGACCAGGCCCTAAGATTATTAGTTGGAAGTTATCTTGAAAGTCTATTGAAGTTACTCAGTTCATGTAAAAATATCATGTCTTTTAAGTAATTTAAAGATATTTCCATATATATTTGATTTTGCTGTTTAAAAAAATCGTAGGTCACTTTCTGATTCCTTACCGTCTTACTAATGGTGATAAACTAGTTGTTGTAATTGTGCAATATTTGGGGGGCTAGAAAGAAGACATCTATAATGCCTGTCACAAACCAGTAGATTATATGTGGAGTGCATTTGAAGGTCAGATTGTTTATGTTAATAATGAAAAGTTGAGATGGTATTGAATAGAGAGGTATATTGTTTGGTTGACAGAAATTCACCTTGCACTTCAAAACTATTATAACAGATTCTGGTTTTGTTTTTTTCTTTTCTTCTTCTGTTAAGGAAGTAACTGAATCTTGTAATTTGAAGCAGATAAATAGTCGCATCGTTCTGTGATAGGTTTGGCTTTTATGCCTTAAATTAGAGGAAATTCTCTGGCAAAAATGTCAGCTAACAGTAGTTGCTGGTTGTGACTTTTGAAAAATGAAAGTACCAAGTGTTCTTTACTACAATTGCTGGTTTTGAATATTATTGAATATTATTTGTAATTCAGTTGTATTAGATGCTTTAGTTTTATTGGTTTTCTAAAAGATTGTATCATGGAGTGATGCTGCAGATTTTTCATGCAGGATGATCTGTACAGTCGCAGAGTGTATACATATATATCTGCATACAGTGGTGCTGGCTAGAAACCTGCACATGGTGTTACAGCCTCACTGAAGGTTGTGGGGGTAAAATAGAGAAATAGTTAAAAACAAAAAAGCGCAGGTTACTTTTGGAGATTTCTGCTGATGACTTCAGTGCAACTTCAGTTGGAATTACTGTATGTTTCTTATTCTTGCATGTTATGTTAGCAGAATGCAAATAAAACAGTGAATTAGGAAATAGTATTTCTCAACCTAACTAGATTTGGTGAAGCTTCTACTGGCTTTGTCTACAGGCAAGTTTAAATAGAGGCAAGGTAAAAGTATAGATCTGATTAACTCTTAAAGGTCCCCAGTGCTTCCAAATCATGCATGTTATTATGCCTATTCTACTATACTGTATACTGCAGTTATAATTCTAAAGTATTGTAACTGAAAAACAGGAGGCGCACATTTAAATATTTACTTAAAAAATTCTTTTATGGAACAATGCTATTTTAAGCTTTATGGCGAGAATCTCGTTGAGAAAACATAGTAGAGAAGTTTATAGATCAAGAAGGTGATGTTTCTGTGCTTAGCGTATCTGTAGTCTGCACAGACGCTGAAGGAGAACTTCAGCTGTAAAGAAAAGATGAGTGTCCTAGAAAACTGGAGCATATCTGTATGTGCATGTAACGCCAGAGGTAGGCTAAATCTTTTGTTGTCATAGCTGATCATAAGAACTATTAAATTTACATTGTCCTTCCTTGCTTTAAAAAGTCTCATGTGGCTGGAGCTAGTGTTCTAGGACTTGGGCAATTAATCTGGCAAAGAAATGATTTTGAGAAGGCCTCTTCCTTTACCTTGTGCTGATTTAATCCAGACCTTGAGGGTAATCATATAAATCTGTTAGTTCAGTTAAATATGCTACTGGAGGTATCATACCTCAGCATCCAGTGCACTTCATCCTGAAGTAGTGTTCGTACCTTTGAAGTGTTTGATACAGCTACTAAACTAAAATGCATCTCAGTCCTCTTTGTAGCACTAGAACTTTTCATTTTTTAAATTAAAACTAATGAACAGCTTTGACATCTGTGAATTTGGCCTAAGTACTTATTTAATGCTGTATCTTGTGCATATATATGGAATATCTTTCTAATAGTGGGAGGGATGTCTGATACAGTGTGGAGGGATATGCATTGAGAATACCTTCAAGCATGGATAAAAGGCTGTCATAATGTGATCTGAGGTTGGAAGCAGAAATGAATGTTAAAATTATTCAAACGTGTTGTACTCTGAAGTTAATTGTGCTGATGCAATTTATGTAACAAAAAAAGGACAGGTAATTGTTACTGCCTATGTTACCTCATTTCCTATTACTTTTGTGTATATCTACGTCCTATATACCTGTATTGCCTAATACAAAATTGACTAAGAATTTTGCTTAGCTCTTTTGTACATTGTAGATAGCTTACTTTTTCTTCATGAATAGGTGGTTCTCTTCCAAAAGAAAAAAGACGACATCGATCTCACAAGTTTCTGCGTCTCAGGGTTGGAAAACCCATGAGAAAAACATTTGTTTCACAAGCAAGTGCATCAATGCAACAGTATGCACAGAGGGATAAAAACCATGAGTACTGGTTTGCCGTTCCACAAGAAAGGTAAGAAGGTAGACTGTAAAAATCAACACCTTCCAATAGGTCTTAGCTTTATCTTTTTTCTGCACCATGCAAAATTTTTCAGTGACTTGTGTCTGTAAAGCAATATAAAAAAAGGGTCAACAACTGAGGATATTGATGGTAGGCTTGTACTTAGCACTGGAACACCTCATTACTATGCTAAAGTTTTACTGATTTGCTTGAGTTACTTGCAGGTTTAGCCAATAGTATCTCATGGTATTATTTAGGCTTGTGTTTGTAGCAAGTGAATAATGATAGAAAGATTCAAGTGGTGTCTGGTGAAGGAAATGAGTTCTCCAACAAAGTTTTTATTGTCATTATCCGTGCTTCCCGTTATTTGGAAACTTTCTAAAAATTCTCTCTACTTCTTAAAGCTCCGAGTTCAGAAGAGCTAGCTGGGCTTCTTTTGTCTTACCTCTGTATATCGAACATAAAACTTTTCCAGAAAGCAACTTAAACATATCTATGTGTTGCAGTGATTCAAAGACATGAGATATCCATGCTCACTCACTGGTAGTCTTGAATTCTTAAAGGATCTTTACTGCTAGGAAACTGTGACTTGATTTTCAAGTTGAATGTGATTTTTTTTATTTTTTTTTTTGG